TGTCTTTGACAAGTGCTGTTTTGTTCCAATAGTAAAATTGATATTTACAATGTTATTCATGAAAATTTGATTATTCAAACCTCTGATTTGAGAGAGTCATTTTGCATTGAAGTTTGAAAGCTAATTTAATCATCTAGCAAATTTGCTTCTGGCATTTTCTCATTTGTACATTTGGATTTGCATTTATGAAAAGTACAAATTTAACAACTTCGTTTGGCGCTTAATTAAAGATTAATGAGTTTTTTATTTTATTTTAAATTTGTCACTTTTTCCATATATTTAAATCGTTTTAAGTTTCACTGAATTTAGGCTACTTCCGCGAATTATCAACATTTATAGTTACGAGTTTAACTGTTTGTTAAGTATTTTTAGACAGACACGAATGGCAAGTTCAAGTCATTTGACGGACTTCCAGGACTTCCAGGCAGAGATGGTGAGTTATACAACATTCTTTACTTTTGAAGTAGTGAAATATTTTAAGAGAATGTTTACTACCACAACATAGCTCTATTACTACTGAATCCAATTTTTCTAAAATAACCTTACAATTTAGGACGTGATGGCAGAGATGCTTCGTTGCGTGGTGAGTTTTTTTTAACAAAGGTTATTTTCTTTTTATCTGTAGTGCATGTGTGGTTAAATGTATTTCGTGGAAACTACGTTAAATCTTTTATTAACTCTTATACCCCTCTTAGCTAAATAAACTATTTGATCGATTTTGACAAAATAGCTTATAAACTCGTATAAAGTAAATTACTACCTTTTTGGCTGCGTGTCATTTACGAGTCCAGACCCTGATTTTATGGATTCTAATTACTTAAATGTTTAATTCAAACGGAACGTAAAAAGTCTATTAGAGATTTTTATAGCAAGCTCTTTTCCGAAATGGTTAGAACTTTATACATGCATTTTCTTTTTGTCGTGTTTTGTGTGATAGCAGATTGTGCTGAAGAAATGGATGAGTTATTTAAGCCTTTGTGCTTTTTTATTTGCGGAATATTTTTAATGAGTTATTAGTTTTATTATTAACGCTTTAGTATAGACGCGTTAATATTATATTCGCCAAAGCATGATGTCATTGCTAAGGTGCGATAGTAGGTCTGACTGGTTTGATATTATGTGACTAGATGACTTGTGACATGTTAGATGGCCTGTGCTCTTGGTTTGGAAAAATTTGCACCATTCTGGAGCAAATTTTTTATAGGGTCAATAATAAACGCAATGCAAAGAAATTGATTACACCAACAATACATCGAAATAAACAAACATGAGGTTTCAAAACTTGCATTTCACATACCTATGAACCACTATGAAATGACATAGCACAATAATCATATTTATACATAACACAATAATCTCTTTACACTTGCATTTGCTCATCACAAAAATAAATGATATAAGAAAATCATAAATATTGTTATGAAATTATGAAAATTTGACGCTTTCAAAAGTTGATAACATTCTTAAACAGTCTCTAAGCGTTATAAATAAACGATTTCAAATGACATATTGTTGTTAAGTTCAATAAGTGCACGTTTTGCTAAGGGATGTATTGCTATCGCCAGTTAGGGGGAGGCTCTTATTCATTTATGCATGATATGCTGAATTAATATCTTTTGAAATGTACGGATTTATAACATGTATATATGAATAAGAGCCCCTTAATTAGCGATAGCAATACATCCCTAATTTTGCTGTGAGAAAAGTTCAGAAAACATATTAAAATGCCAGAAGCAAACGTTTTTGAGCTATCAAAGACATGTAATATAATATAGCATCCATTATCCATATAGGCCTATATAGTTAAATAGCTAATGGGACATAGAAATTATATTGGAAGCTTTTATAAGATTAAAGTGTTCTATGCTTAAAATGTGTTCATTTACAATGGTTAAACCTGTAATGAAACTTTTTGATATTAGATATTTTTATTCAGTTTTTAACTGCATCATGTTAGAGTGACCTGTTGATTTTAAAAAAATGAATACACCTTCAAAAAAGTGGTATTCATTCATATATCATAAACGTTCAAGTAAGAAGTCAATTTTTAAGTGTCCTTCTTTTAAGGTAACCCCACGATCTACAAATTGTGGTTGTCTGGACACCAATGGGTTCCTATAAGCCCCTAATTTCTAAAAGTCGTTTTTTCACCGTGTCTAACGGACATTTGAAAACTACTCCTGTCTAGGCTTCATATAGTCAAAGGTGCTAATATTAAAGTTAAATATTATAAGGTCCTCGTGGTAAGCAGGAAAACCAGGTCCAGCTGGTCCACCAGGACCTAAAAGTAAACCACGTCAACCGGTGGAGTGGTCTATACCAGATGGGGAAGAAAACATTGTCCTAAAACAACAAAACTGTTGAGATTTATTCTGGTAAGAAAATCTACGTAATTGCGATTCATGATTTAGCTACAACCAGTATAGGTTTAACAAGTAAAATAAGCATGTATGAGCGATAAAACTTCTGTTTCCTATTTTGAGTATTTTTAATGGTTTCAAATACAAAGAAATCGGCTTTCTATTTATTTTAAGATGAAGTCTTTCCCTTATGCTTGCATCAACTCACAATCAAACAATAGACTCCTTGACTTCAAATTTCATGTCATAACTTCTTTATCACTTGTTTTTGCCCGACCTGCTAATGTTGACAATTCACCCGACCAATCATCAAACTTTTTACAGCGGCTCCTCGTCCCTTACGCTTGTGTCAAATGCTTTGATGAATGTCGTTGTTTAATCTTGTTAACGCTCTTGATTTTGTTTATTTTACTCGTGTGAATCAGGCATAAGAATTTCATTAAATATGCTCATTAGAATTTTTATATGCTCAGAACGTAACACTGGACAGTCATATTTCTTTTAACTGTAAATGTTCGACGCAATATACGCGAATCGACATTTGTATCATAACCTATGTTCTTGTAAAACCAAGTAGTCGTATTCATTAGTTGTAGTTCTAAAGCATCTTTTATGAAAACAGGAGCAATCGGGGATCGTATCATACACACAGTGGGAGTGGAGCAAATTATCTCTGTTTACCTTGAATCCAATAAACGACAAATACGCTGCTGGTGCTCAGAGTCATGCAATCATTTATGGTACTGAATACGAGATTACTTCTGCTGAGAAACATATATTTCCAAATCCAAACTTACACAACCGAGATCCTCCATGTGCTGTATGTCATGCTAAGTCACGTGGTAGTCATATGATGATTCCAGCGCGCAATATCTGTCCTTCAGGGTGGACTATGGAATACAAAGGTTATTTAATGGCTGAACATTATACTCACAAGCGATCTGAGTACATTTGTGTTGATGGCAAGCCAGAAGCAATGTATGGATCTCATGCAAATAGAGATGGAGCATTGCTGTATTTTGTTGAAGGCCATTGTGGTTCTTTACCATGTCCACCATATATTCATGGAAAGGAACTGACCTGTGTAGTCTGTACTCAGTGATTTAAGGGTTTCAATGCACATATGTACGTATTTTGGCATTATCTGTAGTAACACTAATTAAACATTATTTTGAATTTATTTAATAACCACATCAGTGACGTCACCATTATTTTCCTTTAAATATCCTTACATGCACTTAAGTTCAATGATAAAATACAAGAAGAAATGTTGATCACCAACAATTAATGACTTGCTTTCTTTATATGTAGTAAACGTAAGTTCTGAACGTTTTGCACTGATGACGTCTGTCCATAATTCAGTCTTTATCTCATGGTACTCATGGTAAAGGCAAAGTGCATAATTGTCTGGTATTTTCTGTAACCTCTTTTACCAACATCACTTGTGATTGAATATGCAGAAGTTTACTTTTCAGTATTTGGTTGGCCTGTTCGAGGGGAAAGCTTGTTAGGCCTTTTTATTTTAGAGATTTAAAGAAATGCGACGAGGAAAAAAGCCGCAACTAAAGGAGAAGTAGTCTGCGTGTTCTTTTTATAGTTTGAAGAATTTTGTTAACTTGTCTTCCAGTCCTGTCCTTTAAGCTGTTTTTAAAGGCAACAGATCGAAATTTGATGGATTCGAAAACCAAAGTGTGTAGAAATGGCAAAACTATACAACTTGTCGTTTTCCAAAATTTAGAAACTAACATGCAGTAGAAATGGTGATGGAAAACAAAATATCGTCACTTAATTAAGCAATCCTTACATTACTCCCAATTGCAGTCATGCATTTAAATATTAGTGTGCAAAATCGGAAATAAACAGGCGCAGAAAGTTGCACAGACCGCAGATGCAATTTCTCTTGGAAGTAAGGGTCTGCGCACACGTTTAAATTTGGAGACTTTACTTTGATCTTTTTTCTCTTCTATAAAACGTTGCGGTTAAAAATTTGAAGTTTGTGCCATGGTAGCTACACTAATTAATTAATCTAACTTTTTAGGGCAAATTCAAAATGTTAATAAGATTTATCTACGTATTTTTATGACAAATTTATTGTAAAAACCCCGCTACTTCGCCTCCATTTATTCTGTCATGGTAAGGAGTATTACCTCAATTGATTTTTCTATACCTACACTTTTCAACAAACCAGTGAATTTCGCTTTCATATTCTTAAGAAAATTACCGTTATCATGTTTTGTTGGTATGACGGCCTGCATAGCAAATGTTGGTTTAACATCACCAGTTCTAGAGACGATTATCTTCCAAACAATGTTGATAAGAAAATTTGGATGCTGCTTGTTGCAAGCTGTCATGACGTCATCATCTTGTAAAGGTACATACGTCACTAATTCTGGGTATTTATTACGAAAATGGTTAAATGTTTTCAATCTGTCTTTTTCCATTTTCCATAACATTGCAATGTTACAAAAACTGCTGTAATTGTTTTCTTCTTGCACATATTCAAAAAATGTAAAACATGAAGATACTTCTTCATTTTCAAACCGACCTCCAGATAAATGATTCGAGTGTTGTTTTGCTGTAAATGAAAAAAGCAGCTGTAGATTTTACATGTATAAAAGTAAAATTAAAAAAGGTACGCATAGCGTACATGGGTAACCTGAATTGATGAATAGATGGCAATGTCGTGAAATGAATTGATGAAAACGGTCTAAATAATATTATACGTTGTTTTCGCTACTTTCTGAATATCTTTATGGAATAGAAGTAGATTGCCAACGATTCAGTTGTGATTGCAATTAACTCATATTTAATCTTGAATGCTAAGGCTTCTCTAAAAGCAAGTATTTCATTTTATTCATTAGCCACAACTGACTCGTACGTAGCTATAATGTCTTTAAATTTCATTGTCATGTTCAACCTTTTTTAAAATCCACACTGTCTGTGACATTATTAGTAATTATAGAAACTTGAAAGAAAAATCCTCCTTTGATTAACTTTTTTCTCTTTAAACTATAAACTCATTAAAACAGAGGGACATGGTTGAGGATTGCACGCACAAAGAGAAATTTTCATTTGTCGAAAATGACCAAGCTCCAAGCTACGCTATTTCAAACATAGAAGTCAAATTATCTTGACGAGATAATTTGTAATCATCATTTTACAGTCAAACCGGATGTTCTGCTCAAATTAAGTAACTCAATCGCTATTGAAATATTGAAAGGCAATTTACAGCGAAAGTTCCTTCGAAAGTTCAACAATGTTTGCACATCCTTTAGCAAATACTGAGATGGTTTGTATACTATACCATACGTATGGTAAAAAGTCAGGTACTTGACGAACAAGACCAGTTAGGTGATAAAAAAATAGAGACACAAGTCAGTTGACAAACTTTATAGATACCAATTATATTCATTGTTGTAAAATAATCTCAGACCAGAGCAAACACTCAGTTGTATATTAACATGGAAGTCAGATGATCTTTTAAGACTAAATTATCAGTCTTGCATTTGTTTGCATAAACAAATTAGAAACTATGAAAGTTAATCAGAAATCTACGTAATTGCGATTCATGATTCATGAAACATATATTTCCAAATCCAAACTCACGACAGAGGATACTTGCAACATTTAGTCACGTGGTAATCACAATGATTCCAACGCAATATCTATCCTTCAGGATAGACTATGGAATACAAAGGTTATTTAATGGCTGCGCATCATAGTCACAAGCGATCTGAATACATTTGTGTTGATGGCGATCTCAATGAAAGGAGCTGACCTGCATAATCTGTACTCAATGAATTATAGGGTCTTAATGCACATATGTACGTATTTTGCCATTAGCTGTAGCAACACAAATAAAACAGAAATTTTAATTCATCTACTAATAACATATCTGTGATGTCACCATTATTTTTCTTTTAATATCCTTACATGCTCTTAAGTACTATGATGAAAATAGAAGATTAACTGTTGATCACCAACAATTTATGACTTGTTATCTTTTTATGCAGTAAACGTAAGTTCTGCACGTTTTGCACTGATGATGTCCGTCTGTTTATAGTTCTGTCCTTATCTCATTGTACTCATGGTAAAGGCAAAGTGCATAATTGTCTAATATTTTCTGTAACATCTTTTTACCAGTGTCACTTGCGATTGGTTATGAAAAAGTTTAATTTGTAGTGTTTGGTTAGTCTGTTCCAAATATATCTCGCTAGGCCTATTTTCTGATTTTAGGGAAAAGATTTTATGCAGGAACTAATTAACGTAATTTACTGAGGACAAAATGCAATATTTCCAAACAAGACGAGAAATAAAAGAGAAATGGCAGAAGTTGCCAGCGTGTTTTCGTATAGTTTGAAGGAATGTATTGCCCAGTTGTTCTGTTGTTTTCTTTAAGCCGTTTTGAACTGTCAACAGATAGAAATTCAAATTGTGTGCAGATTGCAAAACTTGACAAATTGCCATTTTCCTCACCTTTAGAAACTTACATAGAGATGGTGACAAAAACAAAACAATATCACGTAATCAATGGTTAGGTCACTTTTAGTTGCAGTCATGTATGCAAAATTTATTTGCAGTACACAGCATAATTTATGCACAAATTATTGCATAAGGTATCTTCCCTTAAATTTGCTGGAATTGGTAAAATAATCACTGCAAGTTTTCCTTTGAAATTAAACAGTCCTCAGACTTAACTTTTTGTTAGTGATTTCTGCATCACTGGTGGATCCAAAGCACGTCATAATAAATTACTGCAGCACACTTTAGCGTATATTTACATTTCTAAATGCATTAGAGTCTGAGTAATTTGAATTTAAAATTGAGGAGCCATAATTTACTTTGACGTACAATGGATCCGCCACTGGTATGCATGCAAGCTACATTTTGAAACTTTAGTTTGACTTGTTTCTATTCTTTTGTGTTTTTTTTTCTTTTCTTTACTTTTCGTTGCAGTTTCTGTCATGGTAGTTATTACAAAAGTGCATCAATAAGCTCAATCTTCTGATACCTTGTGATATCACCTTGAATAATTAAACTCATCGAATCAATCTTTTATTTAGGTCTCTCTTATACTTTTCAGGGCAAATTAAAAATGTTAACAAAATTTATAAACACATTTGTTATCTATGAAAACTTTAATGTTCGCATGTACTTTGTTTTGATAAGAATCAGGTCAATTTATCTTTTGATATCTACACATATTAATATATATCGTCATATCAACTAAAAAAACAACCAGTTTTAAAATACAATTTTTTACATGGGATTAGTGTGTATGATGTCTATAGAGAAAAACTATTTTCAATGAAAATGACAATTTGGTGTATAGAATGCTAAATATTTATCATTATTTGAACTACTTTATTAATTTAATTCATTGTGTCTATAAATTTGTGAGGCTACCCACATGTACAAAATGCTTACCTATTTTGAATTGCTGTATGCCATCATCACTGCTAACAAATCTCCACCGAGCACCATATAAAACATGTAACAATGCGTACCTATTTTAAATTGCTGTATGCCATCATCACTGCTAACAAATCTCCACCGAGCACCATATAAAGCATGTACACAATGCGTACCTATTTTGAATTGCTGTATGCCATCATCACTGCTAACAAATCTCCACCGAGCATCATCATTAGTTACAAATCTCTAACGAGCACCATTTGAAGCAAAAAGTTGTTTGCTCAATTGGCGTTTATTCAGTAAGAAAACAGCCTGGAAAACTGTTGCCTCGTTTAAATGTTTTTCAGCAGCGGTTTTTTCATATCTTTTACGCCCGATCATCCCATAACCTTATTACTAAGACTGAAATGATAATACTCAGAGTTATTTTAGATATTTGAGTTTTCCCATAATAGGACCATTTTAAAATTGTGGAAGGTAAAAGGATTACAGTATGAAAGACATGCATTACTTATATTGTCCTGCAATTTAGCGTATGTAATATGGAGTATAAAATTTACAGTAAAACATGAATAAAGTCCAGCATTCACCTTAAATTTTGAATAAAATTGACTGCCCTTCATTGACCTTTTAAGTGCACCTCTACATAATAAATAAATTAAACTCTGCACTCACTTAACTGTGAAACCTGGTGCTATATGCATATCTAATAAGATTACTTACTGCCCTTATTGATTAGAAAACGCATTCGACTAGTACTGGAAGCCATCATGCCAATTGACAACTTACATCCAACACCAATCCACATTGATTACTGCGGAATAAGACCAAATAAAATAAAAAACGCATCCCACGAAGGGTTAAGAAGCCGCATGCATTGTTCAAACTGCAGAAAGAAGAATGTCTCTTAAAGAGCAGCATCCAAATAAATATTTTCAGTAGTTACTGACAGAAACATTTGCTTTAAAAGCTTTCATAAATACGAGTTCACCTTTTAATGTTCATTGCATAAACAAAATCGGTGAGGTGGGACGCCAGATCCCAACCTTTGAAGTAATGGAAAATCGCTCAACAAATATTCAAAATCTTAAATTAAACTGGGGGGAGGGCTCTACAATTAATCCTTTCTGTCACGTGTCTTATAAAATTAACAATTACCTTCCCCTATCAGATAAAAACAAGATCAAGGAGCAAATTATCTAGTTACTTCTTTCCCTTTTTCATTATCAATAAGGTCGATATCTGAAACAGGTACTTACAAAATATTTACGAATATTGGTTTAAATGTCAGCTCAGCGAAGACAAACCAGCTGGTTTTTTTTCTAAGAGAAATTAATTACATTTGAACAAATCTTGTGTCTGTCAGAGTCAACAAAACTTTGAATGTACATCGTTTGGATATGATCAATGACTTACACAAAATTGAGAGGAATCTTCAATTTAAGACTGTGTAGTATGCACTACTACCAAAATATTTGGATGTATAGAATATTGAAATCATCATTGATTCCACGATCTTTCATGAGAATGACAAGGCGTTATCAATGAAAAGTTTGTCACTTAAACCTTATGCCCCCACAGTCATTTGCTTATTCTGTAATGGCCAAAACATAACCAAAATATGCAACAAGATAGACGATTTTTAACAGATGATATTTATCTGCGCATGCGCAGCAGCTACTCTTAAAAACTGTGGCTACTTCTCACACACTGACACACATAAAATTACTGTCGTATCTTTTTGTCTATGCTAACATCAACCTTTTTAGTTTATTTTTTCCAGTATACTAAGATGAAATTGACATTGGGCTTAAGTCAAACTCGATGATAACCGATTCTTTATTATAAAAGAAAAATAATAAATCGCGTGCACTTATTGATCTAGCTTGTTTTATAATAGCCTCAGCGTACAAAACAATTTGATCACTATCAATTAAATCAATCTCAACCTTCGATCTCTAGTTCTCTCAAAGGTATTCATGATTTTCATAAGCCTGTGAAAACACGGTTATATGTTTTTTTTTATGAAATATTTACAGAATGTGAAATTATACTTAAACCATGCAATGTTCTTATCTCCTTGTTAAAACTTCCTATTTATAATTTAGTACTAAAATGACATCAGTTTATTAGCAGGATTGGTAATTAGAATGGCGTTACTACTACAAGATCTATGAAAAATGAATAGTTTGGAAAACGTCACTAAAGTCATCTGCTTGCAAGATCTGCAAAACATTTGTTAGAAATAGTTGGACCAATGGTCTATCTGACAGTGAAATTATCGCCAACAATGACAATTTTGAATATGAGAATTGTGTTACTTTCTAAAATTATTAAAATTGCACACGAAAATGAGACATTTAAAAAGCAATCACAACACACAGATTCAAATTATGGCTCGTTGTTCAAAAGTGCCGATTGTATAAATTTTTTATTTCAATGCTGTTTCATACTCCTCATGAATTATGCATAATTTTGAGCTAAAGATAATACAAATAATGAAATATGAATAATTAATAAAGGTTTGCTTAGCGTTCTTTTATGTTTTGACAAATTTTGCAAAACTTTTTGGCTTGAACAATATGTGCCATATTTTAACCCTATGAGTTCAAATTGCTTTTAACTAAGTCATTTTTGTGCGCAATCTATTTCAAAATGCTTCTCGGTAACACAATTCTCATTCTAAAATTGTTACTATTTACAAACATTTTACTGTCAGATGATTCATTGGAAGTCTAACAATCTATTCCATCAATGGATTTTGCAAATCCTACAAGCTGACAGCATAAGCAACGTTTTCCTATCCGTTAAATTTTTCATACACCGTGTAGTCCACTGCTATAGTCGTACTACGTATGATACTATGTTAATTTTTCTTTGTTCACGTACTATGAAAAGAATAAATTTCTAACAAAATGAATAATAATGTCCTCAAATTCACATTTCGAGACTAAAATTTGCTGGCAGGCTACGCTACTGACTAAGTATTTATCGCCAACTATATCCTCACCGTAAAGCAAATAAACAATTGCTTCTTGCAAATGATTATCAGTAAATATAAATTCCCTCATGCAGAGGCGTAACTAGAACGTTAATTGGGGGTGTATATTCATATATTACGTTGTGCCATACTAATTTCTTTTGAAAGTATTTTGAATTCAAAAGAAATCAGTAGGGCACAACTGAATATATGAATATAAACCCTCAATTAACGTTCTAGTTTCGTCTCTGCTCACATGAACTTTGTACTCTTTATTAAATGAATAGACAACCATCGACATTCAACGATCTTTAATATACAGCATAAACAAAATATAGCATACACATTACAAGGAACAAAGTGACCATAACCTTCGCCAAAGTTAAAAAAATAACAACGACGTTGCATAATTAATATGTTGATGCACATTGTAACATTACAGTACTCCAGCTGTTTGTGTGAGTGCAATCTATTAAAAGAATAGAAAAGAAGAACTGAAGGAAGTTTCAATCAGACAAAAGACCGAGCCAATCAAAGACAAAGGAGACGCTTGACAAATCAAACTTAATGCATTAATATGGCTACACAATGCCCAACGCAGAATTATAAATAAAGGGTGTTTCAATGGATAGTTCTTGTTTTAACTAGAAAAATCATTGTGGAGCTGAAGGAAAGCAATTTCACTCATTTGTCTCTGAATAAATTGATGGAAGCCATCGATTGGATGAAATATGAAAACAAAGCATATGATTGGATAAAACTGACTAAAAATATCACAGACTGCATTGCAAAAGTTTACTTGTAACTGCAATAGCTGACAGAGAGGAGAAGTTTTGTCTTATGAAAAAACGTAAAATAATGTACATCGCTACTCTCCAGATTATTTTCCTTTTTCTAATAAAAGTCATCTACTGCAATTATAATGATGACAAAAAAGCCATGTTGAAGTTAAAAGACAAAGCAAAAGAAAGGTTTGTGGTAATCACTTGTATTATCATTTGATATTTTAGATACGATATTCTGTGTTGAAAGGTGGCATATTTTATGATTACTGATCATATTTAGGTTGCATTGAAGTAACCTATAAAAGAACTACTAAAAATCGTAACCAGTTGAAAACATTTTTCCGTACTCATTTTAGCTCGCACATACACGTACACTAGTACGCACTCATTAAATAGGGATTGGTATGATTTTTTTGTTTTGAACTCTTTTTGTACCCCCAATTATTGAGTTTGTTTCGTCATTCCTCAATTGTTCGAGGGAGTTTAATTTCACAAGCCTTGGTAGCTGAAGATTGGAGAAACTTGAAATGATTCAGACAGATTAAACTAAGAGAGTACTAATCATCTAGCAAATTTACTTGGCATTTTCTCAACATTCGGACTTTGCATGGATAGAAAATACACAAAATTACTTCGTATGGCGCTTTTTTTTTAAATTTGTACTCCTTTCCATATATTAAATCGTTTCACGTTTCACTGAATTTAGGCTAGCCGCGAATTATCGCTTTATAGTTACGACTTTAACTGTTTGTTAAGTATTTTTAAGAGACAGAATGGCAAAGTAACAAGTTGTCGAGGACTTCCAGGACTTCCAGGCAGAGATGGTGAGTTATACAACATTCTTTACTTTTGAAGTAGTGAAATATTTTAAGAGAATGTTTACTACCACAACGTAGCTCTATTACTACTGAATCTAATTTTTCTAAAATAACTTTACAATTTAGGACGTGATGGCAGAGATGCTTCATTGCGTGGTGAGTTTTTTTTAACAGAAGTCATTTTTTTTATCTGTAGTGCATGTGTGGTTAAATGTATTTCCTGGAAACTGCGTTAAATCTTTTATTAACTCTTATATCCCTCTTAGCTAAATAAACTATTTGATCGATTTTGACAAAATAGCTTATAAACTCGTATAAAGTGAATTACTACCTTTTTGGCTGCGTGTCATTTACGAGTCCAGACCCTGATTTTATGGATTCTAATTACTTAAATGTTTAATTCAAACGGAACGTAAAAAGTCTATTAGAGATTTTTATAGCAAGCTCTTTTCCGAAATGGTTAGAACTTTATACATGCATTTTCTTTTTGTCGTGTTTTGTGTGATAGCAGATTGTGATGAAGAAATGGATGAGTTATTTAAGCCTTGGTGCTTTTTTATTCGCGAAATATTTTTAATGAGTTATTAGTTTTATTATTAACGCTTTAGTATATACGCGTTAATGTTATATTCGCCAAAGCATGTCATTGCTAAGGTGCGATAGTTAGTCTGACTGGTTTGATATTATGTGACTAAATGTATAGATTTAGATGACATCTTAGATTGCCTGTGCTCTTGGTTTTGGAAAAATTTGCACCATTCTTGAGCAAATTTTTTAGAGGGTCAATAATAATCGCAATGCAAAGAAATTGATTACACCAACAATGCATCGAAATAAACAAACATATGGTTTCAAAACTTGCATTTCACAATACCTATGAACCACTATGAACGTATGACATCACACAATAATCTCTTTACACTTGTATTTGCTCATCACAAAAAATAAATGAAATAAGAAAATCATAAATATTGTTATGAAATTAGGAAAAATTTGACGCTTTCAAAAGTTGATAACATCCTTAAACAGTCTCTAAGCGTTATAAATAAACGATTTCAAATGACATTGTTGTTACGTTCAATAAATGCACGTTTTGCTAAGGGATGTATTGCTATCGCCAGTTAGGTGAGGGGCTCTTATTCATATATGCATGATATGCTGAGTTAATATCTTTTGAAATGTATTGTTATCTACGGATTTATAACATGCATATATGAATATGAGCCCCCTTAATTAGCGATAGTAATACATCCCTGATTTTGCTGTGAGAAAAGTTCAGAAAACATATTAAAATGCCAGAAGCAAACGTTTTTTGAACTAACAAAGACATGTAATATAATATAGCATCAATTATCCATATAGGCTTACATAGTTAAATAGCTAATGGGACATAGAATTTATACTGGAAGCTTTTAAAAGATCAAAGTGTTCCATACTCAAAATATGATCATTTACAATAGTTAAACCTGTAATGAAACTTTTTGATGTTAGATATTTTTATTCAGTTTTTACCTGCATCATGTTATTTAATCATCAGAGTGACCTGTTGATTTTAAAAAATGAGTGCACCTTCAAAAAAGTGGTATTCATTCATATATCATAAACGTTCAAGTACGAAACCAATTTTTAAGTGTCCTTTATGTAAGGGAACCCCACGATCTACAAATCGTGGTTGTCTGGACACCAATGGGTTCCTATAAGCCCCCTAATTTCTAAAAGTCGTTTATTTCACCGTGTCTAAAGGACATTTGAAAACTACTCCTGTCTAGGCTTCATACAGTCAAAGGTGCTAATATTAAAGTTAAATATTATAAGGTCCTCGTGGTAAGCAGGGAAAACCAGGTCCAGCTGGGCCACCAGGACCTAAAAGTAAACCCACGTCAACCGGTGGAGTGGTCTACACCAGATGGGGAAGAAAACATTGTCCTAACACAGCAAAAACTGTTGAAATTTATTCTGGTAAGAAAATCTACGTAATTGCGATTCATGATTTAGCTACAACCAGTATAGGTTTAAGCAAGTAAAATAAGCATGTATGAGCGATAAAACTTCTGTTTCCTATTTTGAAAATTTTCTAATGTTTTCAAAACAAAGAAATCGGCTTTCTATTTATTTTAAGATGAAGTCTTTCCCTTATGCTTGCATCAACTCACAATCAAACAACAGACTTCTTGACTTCAAAGTTCACGTCATAACTTCTTCAACACTTGTTTTTTTGCCAGACCTGCTAATGTTGACAATTTACCAGACCAATCATCAAACTTTTTTACAGCGGCTCCTCTCGTCCCTTACATTTGTGTCAAATGCTTTGATAAATGTCGTTGTTTAATCTTGTTAACGCTCTTGATTTTGTTTACTTTACTCGTGTGAATCAGACATAAGAATTTTATTAAATATGCTCATTAGAATTTTTTATGTGCTCAGAACGTAAAACTGAGTTGTCATATTTCTTTTTAACTGTAAATGTTCGACGTAATATACGCGAATCGACATTTGTATCATAACCTATGTTCTTGTAAAAACCATGTAGTCGTATTCATTAGTTGTAGTTATAAAGCATATTTTTATGAAAAACAGGAGCAATCGGAGGATCGTATTATTCACACAGTGGAAGTGGATCAAATTATCTCTGTTTACCGTTGAATCCAATATACGAGAAATACGCTGCTGGTTATCAAAGTAGAGCAATCATTTATGGTTCTGAATACGAGATTTCCTCTGCTGAGAAACATATATTTCCAAATCCGAACTTACACGACCGAGATGCTCCTTGTGCTGTATGTCATGCTAAGTCACGTGGTAGTCACATGATGATTCCAGCGCGCAATATCTGTCCTTCAGGGTGGACCTTGGAATACAAAGGTTATTTAATGGCTGAACATTATACTCACAAGCGATCTGAGTACATTTGTGTTGATGGCAAGCCAGAGGCAATGCATGGATCTCATGCAAATAGAAATGGAGCATTGCTGTATTTTGTTGAAGGCCATTGTGGTTCTTTACCGTGTCCACCATATGTCGGTGGAAAGGAGCTGACCTGTGTAGTCTGTACTCAGTGATTTAAGGTTTTAATGCACATATGTACGTATTTTGGCATTATCTGTATTAAACATTTTAATTTATCTAATACCACATCAGTGACGTCACCATTATTTTCCTTTAAATATCCTTACATGCACTTAAGTTCAATGATAAAATACAAGAAGAAATGTTGATCACCAACAATTAATGACTTTCTTTCTTTATATGTAGTAAACGTAAGTTCTGAACGTTTTGCACTGATGACGTCTGTCCATAATTCAGTCTTTATCTCATGGTACTCATGGTAAAGGCAAAGTGCATAATTGTCTGTTATTTTCTGTAACCTCTTTTTACCAACATCACTTGTGATTGAATATGCAGAAGTTTACTTTTCAGTATTTGGTTAGCCTGTTCGAGGGGAAAGCTTGTTAGGCCTTTTTTCTTTAGATTTTAGGGAGAAAAAAAACCGCAACTAAAGGAGTAGTCAGCGTGTTCTTTTTATAGTTTGAAGAATTGTGTTAACTTGTCTTCCAGTCCTGTCCTTTAAGCTGTTTTCAAAGGCAACAGATCGAAATTTGATGGATTCGAAAACCAAAGTGTGTAGAAATGGCCAAACTATACAACTTGTCGTTTTCCCCAAAATTTAGAAACTAACATGCAGTAGAAATGGTGATGGAAAACAAAATATCGTCACTTAATTAAGCAATCCTTACATTACTTCCAATTGCAGTCATGCATTTAAATATTAGTGTGCAAAATCGGAAATAAACAGGCGCAGAAAGTTGCACAGACCGCAGATGCAATTTCTCTTGGAAGTAAAGGTCTGCGCACACGTTTAAATTTGGAGACTTTACTTTAATCTTTTTCTTCTCTTCTATAAAACGTTGCGGTTAAAAGTGATTTGAAGTTTGTGCCATGGTAGCTACACTAATTATCTCTGATTTATCTACATATTTTTATGACAAATTTATTGTAAAAAAAACCCCCGCTACTTCGCCTCCATTTATTCTGTCATGGTAAGGAGTATTACCTCAATTGATTTTTCTATACCTACACTTTTCAACATATTCTTAAGAAAATTACCGTTATCATGTTTTGTCGGTATGACAGCCTACATAGCAAATGTTGGTTTAACATCACCAGTTCTAGAGATGATTATCTTCCAAACAATGTTGATAAGAAAATTTGGATGCTGCTTGTTGCAAGCTGTCATGACGTCATCATCTTGTAAAGGTACATACGTCACTAATTCTGGGTATTTATTACGAAAATGGTTAAATGTTTTCAATCTGTATTTTTTCCATTTTCCATAACATTGCAATGTTACAAAAAACTGCTGTAATTGTTTTTCTTCTTGCACATATTCCAAAAAATATGAAGATACATATTCCAAAAAATATGAAGATACTTCTTCATTTTTCAAACCGACTTCCAGATAAATGATTCGAGGGTTGTCTTCACAAGCATCTCCTGTTTTTGCTGCAGATAAAACAAAAAAGCAGCTGTAGATTTTACATGTATAAAAGTAAAATTAAAAAAAGGTACGCAAGCATACACATGGGTAACCTGAATTGATGAATAGATGGCAATGTCGTGAAATGAAGTGATGAAACGGTCTAAATAATATTATACATTGTTTTCGCTACTTTCTGAATATCTTTATGGAATAGAAGTAGATTGCCAACGATTCAGTTGTGATTGCAATTAACTCATATTTAATCTTGAATGTAAAGGCTTCTCTAAAAGCAAGTATTTCATTTTATTCATTAGCCACAGCATGACTCGTATATAGCTATAATGTCTTTAAATTTCATTGTTATGTTCAACCTTTTTTATAAAAATCCACACTTACTGTGACATTATTTGTAATTATAGAAACTTGAAAGAAAAATCCTCCTTTGATTAACTTTCTTTTCTCTTTAAACTATAAACTCATTAAAACAGAGAGACATGGTTCAGGATTGGACGCACAAAAGAGACAATTTTCATTTGTCGAAAATGACCAAGCTCCAAGCTACGCTATTTCAAACCTAGAAGTCAAATTATCTCGACGACATAATTTGTGATTATCAATTTACAGTCGAACCGGATGTTCTGCTCAATTAAAGTAACGCAATCGCTATTGAAATATTGAAAGGCAATTTACGGAGAAAGTTCCTTGGAAAGTTCAACAAAGTTTGCACATCCCTTTAGCAAATACTGAGATGGTTTGTATATTATACCATAGGTATGGTAGAAAGTCAGGTACTTGACAAACAAGACCAGTTACGTGATAAAAAATAGAAACACAAGTCAGTTGACAAACTTTATGGATACCAATTACATTCATTGTTGTGATATCGACTTGATCAATCATGACAATCTCCTAGTAAAGTTAAGATCATATGGATTTCCAGATAATGTTGTAAAGCTATTGCAGAGCTATCTACTCAATCGCAAACAGTGTGTCACTGTAAATAACTCGACTTCGTCACAACTTATGCTAACCAATGGAGTTCCTCAAGGTAGCATATTAGGACCTCTACTGTTTTAATTTTCGTCAATGATCTTCCGAAGCTGTTGGATCGGACTCAACTATTCATGCTTACGCGGATGACACCACATTTAAAGCCAGCGCTAATATCGATAATGCACCTTTGGAATTGGAACGACGTCTCAAGAATACATGGATAAATTAAGTATGGTCTGCGAAAATGGGATGGTCCTAAACGCTGTTAAAACCAAAGCATTACTTATCACCGGAAAGGCTACATTCATCATTAGTTGATGGCAATCACCTGTCAGTAACCCTTGATGGGGCTGAAATAGAACAAGTAACCTCTTATAAATTGCTTGGTGTAACACTCGATCAAGATCTTACATTTAGTGACCACATTTCAGCCTAAAGGCCAAGCTTTCTCTGCGTATTGGTTTATTGAAAAGATAAAGAGATACCTTCCAATAAAGAAAGACTTTATACTACAACGCTTTGATTAAACCCGTCCTATGTACGGGAGCATGGTTTGGAATACCTGCGACGTTAAAGAACTCCACTGTCTCCTAAGGTTACAGAAAAGGGCTGCCTGAGTAATTCTTGGAGTAGACCCTTATTCTAGAAGTGTTGAAACTTTGTAAACTAGGCTGGTTGCCTTTTTTTGACGAAATAAAACTAAACAAATGTGCCATGATTTTTAAGAGCCTCAAATGCGATGTTCCTATTTATATCAAAGATTTGTTCAAGACGAACAGTTCTGTTCAATAGGTCCACGAGGCATGGCAATTTAAATTTAGTGTCCCAAATACCTAAGAAATAACGATGGTGGCAAGGCATTCAGTGTTGACGCAGTTAAGTTATGGAACAGCCTTCCCATGATATCAAAAAAGCCTAGTATAAATCTATTCAAAACAGCTGTGAAAAGCATTTTATAAGCTCATATAAAAACCTGGACAACTTTGAAACAATATTAAGCAATAGCACACTACCTAATTTTAATTTTAATTTTTATAAATTAATTTTATCTTTTGAATATTTTTATGTGTCCTGCTATTTTTATCATAGAATTTTGTAATTATTTATATATTTATTCATTTATCAGTTTTTGTAATGCTGTATAATCTAGTTAGAGGGCCACAGGTTTGTCAGCTTTTCAGCTGTTCGTGTCCCCCTCTTCAAATAAAGTCCTTATTATTATTATTATTATTATTATATAATCTCAGACCAGAGCAAACAACTCAGTTGTATATTAACATGGAAGTCAGATGATCTTTTGAGACTAAATTATCAGTCTTTCATTTGTTTGCATAAACAAATTAGAAACTATCAACTGCCATAAATGACCTCTAAACCAAAAAAAAAAACAACATTTATTTAAACAAAAACATTGTATAGAAAACTTCAATTGTGAATTTGATTTATCATCAATTTAATTTGAACATAAATATTAGGCAACCTTTACTGTTACAAAAAACTGCCATTCAATTTAGTTTGGTCACCTTGGAAAATTGAAATTTGCTTCCTTTGTAGGGTACATATCAATTTTAACACTTTTTTTAACTAAACCAATTTTCATAATTTTCATAAATTTATATTTCGGCATACAATTGCTACAGTAATTTTTTAGTATCTAATCGATATATTTTTCCAATATACCACAGCATCCTGAATATATCCCAAACAATGTAAATTGTTCTGATGAGCAATGGTAATGAGAAAAAAATTGTGAAATTCTCATGCAAACAAAAGAACAACTGCACAAGAAAATTATAATTGCTTCACTTGAATGGAATGATGTTTTACAAAGTTGTACAATGTACTTAACAGAAGCACCAGATTTATAAGCAATTGCTAAAATAAATGTTTCACATCTGATTCAAATCACCTCATTTATGCCTCATTGTTCACACATACAGGTTTATAAAATAACAACAATAAAATGCCTGTAATGGTTAGTTAATGGCTGAGTTTGCAATTTGCTTGTGCAAACCGATATGAGCTCAACCACTGGAGCTGAATGAATGAAATCAACTAAAGAGAATTTAGAAATCAATCATCAATACATGCTATAAGAAAAATTAAAACATTTGTTTTAAGTTTATCTGTTTTGCATGATTGGTATTTTATAGAAAAAATAGAAGATGTTTTTTTTGTGTTTGCACTTGATTATACAACCTACGACATTTGTGAGAACTCTCAAGCAGGTGGAAATCACTGGTCTGTTCTCAATTTCTTCTATTTGTCTCCTCCGTTTGCATAAGACTGTGCAATACTGGTAAACATCTATTATTTGTTGAATAACAAACACTCATGCATAGAGAGACTTGACTCTGCTAGTCTAGCTTGTCTTTTATACTGTATTTACCTGACTGACTTTGACTATCTTGCTGAGTGACCTCTTCTACTGAGAATTTCATTTGAAATTCAATTCCACGACAAGCCCCTTGTATTTGATGTTTTCTAATACATTTAACCCCATCATCTTTCTCAACTTGGATTATTATATCATGAATATACAAGCCTGTAAACTTTTCTAGACGTTCGATATCGATATGGCCGTCATCATGCAGTTTGCCATGAATATCTTTTCCATCTAACAAAGCCTTTTTGTCGTGTGGTAAGTTTTCAGTCAACTTGTCAAGAGTCTGGAGTAAATGTACAGTTGAAAACGACTGCTTGTCCTCGTTTAGCTCGGCTTCCAAATCAGATATTTCTGAGCGTAATTTATCAATTTCTGCTCGATACCATGATTCGGTGCGGTTGAAGTTTGAACACAAGTAGTCATCCCATCGATCGCGTTTCAGTTTAGTTTTTACACGCAAGTGAGTGGTAGAAAGACTTGAAGACACAAATTCGTCTTCCATTTTCCATGAGAACAACAAAATCAGTGAACATTATAAGTGAGTTCGCGCCAAATGGCTAAAATAAGCATGTCCCGTTTTATCCTTAAGTACTGCCTGTTGCCCAAAAATGTTGCGCAAAGAAAATACAGTATCATCAATAAGCACGACAACTTCAAATGGTCAAAGATCAATTTCATCGTTCAAAATTTCGAATTGAATAGTTTATATCTTTGAATCATGCTAAACACGGGGTAAGTACGAGAAGATTGCTCTAATTTGCGGCATTTCTGTCAAAGCAGAATGTTGGAAGGTTGATTGTGAAGAACAATCATTTGCTTATTTTTGAATGTCATGTCAACTGGCCTTTTTTACCTGATGAATTTCTGTATGACTAGTATTTTAGACAGTTTTATTGATTTTTATTAAATGATCGCATTAAGAATCCTTTCCGTTTTTGGTCTGAACGAAAGGCAAAGAAACCTTTATTTATGCACTCTGATGATAAAATGTAATAGTTTTTAATCATACATGTATTATTTTCCCATTGGATTTTCTATTTTTTGATCATTCATTATTCAAGTATCTGAGGTTTGCATAATAAACCAGTGCAAACATGAAAAATATCTTTCATTTCTATTACTAAATAATGATAATGCATAAACAAATGTTTGAATTTGTCCTCTTACATATATGTATTGATGATTGATTTGCAAATTGTCTTTCATGAATTTAATTGATTTAGCTCAGATTGGTTTGCACAGGCTAATACAAAGCAAACTTGACTTTAAACCAATCAATGGTGGCATTTCATTGTCTAGACTCTTTTCTCTTGTTGTCTAGAAAACTTGCTGGAAAAACGATTTTTATTAGTGGAGCAAGTCGTGGTATTGGTAAAGCTATAGCTTTAAAGGCAGCACAGGATGGAGCAAATATTGTCATTGCTGCTAAAACAGCTGAGCCGCATCCAAAGCTTCCTGGAACAATTTACACAGCTGGTGAAGAAGGTCAGTTTTTGATGTCTGTTTTGATGTACACAGTCAGCAATGTTTGATGTTTAATTCTTGCAAAAGAAATTGGTTTCAATAGAAAAAAATTTTTTCTTGTAGATATGCATATTATAAAGAATTATGTAGCACTCTTAGAATAAGGAATTTCCAGATATTTATAGGATAGTGAGGGAAAATTTTATTACCGTTTTGGCGACAGAGTGCTAAATATATTTTCCTTGTAATAGTATTTGCCTGTAAGGATTCTTTCACTTTTAATGAAGATATTGTTTACAATGACATAATCTAGTAATTTGCTGACTACGTATGGTGTTTTTATTCATCTCATTTCTTTACGATGTTTAATTTATGTAGCTCTCAAGCGTGTATTCCATATCTGAAAGTGGCCAAGAACCCTCATATTTTAAACATCAGTCCGCCATTAAACATGAAACCTCTTTAGTTTAAAGGACACGTAGGTAGGCCATCGTATTTCATTTCAAGTAGCTCCACATACTTAGCTGTTGAGTCCGAAGGCCCCTCTTACACGTGTGTGCCGTACATATGTAGCTATAAGGTAGTCAACCAGTTCTGTTTTCCAGCTTTTTCAGTTTGTTCAAAACACTTTTATTCACTATATATATTCTGTATTTTTAGTGGAAATTAATTGAATCAAAAGTGTTAACCGTGCAGTTTTTAAAATTTGTGGTGCTCATATTTATGTACTTAGCTACGTGCCCTGCGAACTATTCGAGAAAAGTCAGTCACTTTTGCCAGTGAATTAAACCCGATTTTTATGTTTTGGTATTTTGATATACACGATCGCTAAATATGGTATGTCCATGTGTGTTCTTGGTATGGCTGAAGAATTTAAAGATGATGGTGTAGCATTGAACGCTCTTTGGCCAAAAGCAGGTCAGTTACGTATTACAGTGTCATATAGCTAGGGTTCATCTTAACATTGTGCTACTGGAGGTATGGCATGCAACATATAGTAGCGATCTAAATATTTTTTTTTCATTTTTCTGTCACTTGAACGACTTTATAATCTTTTTATGGGATTATTTGGTTGAGTTCTTTTGTGTATTTCTGTATGTAAACATATACGTGTGCTTACTGTGCTTCCCCATTCGTGCATTTTAACATTAGTTTCCTCATCCATAGACAACTGCCCTAGAGGCTTACTTTGTGTTTCCTCATCTTTATATAAACGCCCTTCATCAATATCATACTCACAGGACTTGGACAAATGAATCCCCAACAAGTGTTGTTAATTTACCTTGTCTTGTGTAGCTATCGAGACAGCAGCAATGGAGATGCTTGCTGGTGGAGATGCTCTACAACAATGTCGTAAGACAGACATCATGAGTGATGCGGCTTATGTTGTACTAACGAGAAACAGTAAATCAAGGACTGGTGAATTTCTTATTGATGAGGATATTTTACGCGAATTGCTGTATGCCACCATCACTGTTTACAAATCTCCACGGACCACCATATGAAGCATATACACAATGTGCACCTATTTCGAATTGCTGTATGCCACTATCACTGCTTACAAATCTCCACTGAGCACTATATGAAGCATGTACACAATGCGTACCTATTTTGAATTGCTGTATGCCACCATCACTGTCTACAAATCTCCACGGACCACCATATGTAGCAAAGTTGTTTGCTCAATTGGCGTTTAGTCAGTACGAAACAGCCTGGAAAACTGTTGCCTCCTTTAAATGTTTTCCTGCAGCTGTTTTTCATATCTTTACGCCCGATCATCCCATTACCTTATTTTTAAGATTGAAATGATATTACTCGGAGTTATTTTAGATATTTAAATTTTCCCATTATAGGACCATTTTAAACTTTTATAAGATTACAGTATGAAAGACATGCATTACTAATATTGTCTTGCAATTTAGCGTATGCAGTATGGAGCTATAAAATCTGACAGTAAAACATGAAAATCCAGCATTCACCTTAAATTTTTGAATGAAAAAACTTGATTGCCCTTTTATAAGAGAGCATACTTATATGTAATTACACTATCAAAAGTGCACCTCTACATAATAAATAAATTAAACTCTGGACACACTTTACTGTAAAACTTGGTGCTGTATGTATATGTAATAACATTACTTATTGCTCTTATTGGTTAGATAACGCACTCGACTAGTACTGGCAGCCATCATGCCAATTGACAACTTACATCCAACATCAATCTACATTGATTACTGGGGATTAAGACCAAATAATACAAAACACGCATCCTATGAAGGGTTAAGAAGCCACATGCATTGTTCAAACTGCAGAAAGAAGAAAGTCACCTAAAGAACAACATCCCAATAAATATTTTCA